TTGTGTGTTGTGTGCGTGTTACGTGTAGGTGAGGGACCATCTGCCAAGTTTCATCATCTTCTGCTCTGAAGAAATCCAGAGAACTCACCAGAAACTGCGAAAGTCTGTATTTAGTTAATCCACTTTGGTAGGAAATAACAGTAAAATTTTCCTGCTAATGCAGTAAACATTTATGAAATGTAAGAGGGAAGCTTTAAGTAATGCTTCAGGCAAACTGACCCAAATTTAAAAAAAAAAAAAAAAATTAAATCAAAGTGCTCTTGTTATGTTTTGAATTACTGTTCATCTGACAAAAAAAAAATAGGGTGGGTTTGTTTTTTTTTTTTTCCTGTTCTTAACAAATAAACTTTATAGGAATCAGGGCTTCCATATCTGTCCCTTGTTGTTTAAGACTGGATGAGATGACAATGCAAAAAAATGGAAGTAACAAGAACCATCATACTTGTCTTCTCCTCAGCAGTGTTGAGAAAAAACTGTGGATCCTGGAATTCTGCTGTGGATTTTACTGGTTTTCTGGAGTACTGTAAGTTGAAGTCTTGTCCCGCAGGCCCTCGCGAGCACCAGTAGCTCCTGGTCGTAGTGACACCCTCGCCCTGGTGAATACAGCTGATCCTGCTGGTAACGATGTCGGGGTCGAGTTTCGCACGGGGTGAAGTTAACGAATTAATTTTTTGCGTTACTCGAATTCGCCCTTTGTAGCTGCAGTTTGGTTTCGGGTGCTCGGCCCCACCTCGGAGCGCGTGTGGTTTAGCGCGCGGAAGGTGTGCCGTTGCTGGCATCAAAACATGCTGGGTTTTTATATGAGCCACTTGCTGCTTCTCTGGCCCTTTTTTTTAACGGGTAAATTAGCGAGAAAAAAGATCACTTCTTAATCAAGCGTATGAGAAATAATTTGCTCCCCGCACAGCTTCGGCGGGCGAACGAGGAGGAAAAGCATATTTTCTGCGTTTATTTTGTGCGGCCGGGGGCGAGTCTTAGCTGGGTAAGACACGTGCGAGGGCGATTTGGGTGCGGTGTGAGCGCCGGGGAGATGCGCTGGAGGTGCCGCACAAATGAAAGTAACTTGGCTGTGTGCGGTTCTCACGGCTGGCTGCTCCTGCTCTTTTACAGCCCCTTCTCCCGCAGCCCTCACTCGCCTTCAGCAGCCTGTCGGGGCTGGTCTTGTTGGAACGGAGTAGCTGGAAGCATGTGGTGGTTGTTGATCATGCATCGGGTCTGATCCCGGCTATTGGCTGCATCTGTAAATATTAGGATGTGACTTTTGTTTAAATTTCACTGTTCAAGGGAGGAGGAACGAAGGTGGTGGGATTTATTTTTTTTCAGAGTCAGGCAGATCTGAAGTGTTTTGGTGGTGTTACTCACACCCTTATTTTCATTTTGTCACTATAGTTTTGTCTCTCTAGTGAGTGTCTGGGACCTTCGGCTGTAATGAGATGATTTATTTTAGTCTTTTTTGTAAAATAATAAATGCCTTTTTTCTTTTTTTTGATTGTTTCTAATGAGAACAATGACTTCAGGATTTGTTTGTGCATGTCTCCTGTAAAACCGTTCGATAGCAGAGTTGGGGTTTTTGTTCCCGTTTTTTATAGAGAGAGGAAATGCTGAATATTTACTTGTCTTTGAGCTCACCTAGCCTTGCAGTGTGTGGGTCAGTAAAGGCTCTGTATGCAAATCTGTCCTGTCATGGGCTCCTGTATTTATTTCCTTCCCTTTCCCAGGGTGCTCCTTCTCACTTTTTTTTTTTTTTCTTCTCTTTTTTTTTATTTCTGGTTACAGTGTCAGTGAGGAGGGCCGAGGTTGTATTTTAAGGGAGTCCTGTATTTCAGGGGGAATTTGTTTTGGTTTTGTGCGTGTGTTTGTGACTGGAACGGGGCAGGGGGGCGGGTGTTTTTTACTTAATTGCCCAATATACTTTGGCAAGCAGAAGTTGCATTGTTTTGTGGACTGCATTAATGGATTTCTGCATGTTCAAATCCCCCAGTTATTTGGGGGATTTAATTAAACCTCTGTAAGGGGCTGGCTTATGGAGATGACAGGTAGAAGTTTCTGTTTCTAGAAATAGCTGGTGTACACACTGCGGGTGCGGAGGTCGTGGCAGCACAAGGGCTGCAAAGTTTTTGCATTGAGGTGGAGCTTTTGGGGCAGTTCTCATGTTTGGGGCTGCCAGTACAGTGGGACACCCCATTCCTGGCTGTAATGGGATGTTGCTCCAGGGCTGGAGGTGCTCCTGGGTGCTGCCTCCCTGTGACAGTGAGGGGCTGAGCACCCAATAGTGCCACCACAAAAGCCCCAACACCCAGACAGCCTCTCTGCATCTTACCTGCTTGTCCTAGGCCTGGTTTACACCTAAACCAGCATAAATAAGATGTTTCCATTGCTTCTCGTCTGCCAGCACCCATAAGTAGCTCTTGCTGCTGCTGTTTTAATCCTTCAGGGAGGGGAGGCGGGCTTGCTGCCAGCCATGGTTGTGCCCAGTGCTTTTCCACCCACCCCAGAGCTGCCGCTGGTTTTGTGTGGCTCATCCCTCCTTGATACCCAGGGTTATGATTCAGGATTGCCAGTGTGTGCCTTGGGTACCACTGCCTGGAGTCACCCAGTGGTGCCAGCAGAGCTGGTAGCCCTGGCTGCAGGAATGCGGAGAGCAGGGAGAAGAGGGATGCAATCACGCTTTAAGTTCTGCTTCGTTGTCTGCCCTGTCTGGAGCTGAAAACTTGATTATTTTTAATTCTTCCCCCAATTTTAAAAATATTTGTGCCCATCTGAGCCTTTGTGGTCTGTGTATGTGCCTGGGGAGGGGATCTGCCCCGCAGCCCCTGCAGCGTGGCGGTGCCTCTGCCAGCACCTTGTAAACCCTTCTGTGTGTTGCTTTGCAGTTCCCACTGAAGCAGCAATTGCCTGATTTTGTCCGTGGAGTCAGTGCCAGAAGAGCCAATGTGCTGTGTTCAGAGGTAAGTTGGGAAGGTAAGCTCATGTGTCCCACCTGCTCCGAAATAACCTGTGGCATCTGCATCCCTCTGGGCAAATGCAGGTTCCTCTGAAATCCATATCCCTTCGTGAATACTGCAGGTAATGCCTTGGAGAGGTTGAGATAAGCTCAAATCATCCTGTTCAGCTGCCCATTTCTGATCGAAAGTTGAGATTTCCATAGCACAAACTGAGTTTGAAGAGTGAGATGGGATGATCCAATCACAGAACTTTCTATTGCTTAAAATAATGACGCTGTCACGTCATAAACACGCGTACTTTCTCAGATATGTATTCACTATTGAATACTCAGATAGTATTTCACTGCCTGTCCCAAATTTCCACTTGTCCAATACCCAGTGTGAATGATTTTTCCCTCTGTGCTAGAGGCTGGCAGAGGTGTTGAGCCCTTGCTTTGGAAAGTCCTTCTGAAGACAGCTCTTGCCCTCTTTGTTGAACTAGGCAAAAGTTTGATTTATATATATAAAAACGTTAATTAAAACATGAACCTCAAACACTACCAAAATGGATTCTAGAGCTAAGTGTGTTTGCTGTTGCTTTTTTTCTTTTGGAGTCACTTGAAGAGATGAAAAATAAGACTGCACAGGTACAGTCAAGTAAAATTTGCTGCAGAAATAATTAATAGTAAAATTATGTGGGGGGTGGTTTTCATTTAGCTGGTACGGGTTTAACACTGGATACATGTTGGCTTCGCAGTAAGTAGCAGTTGCTCATTAGGGAGTTGGCCCTGGTGGTGTCAGTGTTGAGGACACTGAAGGGGTGAAAATACTGCTTTTTTTTTTTTTTTTTGGCAAATATTTGATTTAAAATTTGCAGTCATTTGGCACGGGCCACGAGAGCTTTTGAAATTCCTATTTTTAAGTGTGCTAAGGAGGCAGGGACTCAGAGGAGGGCGGGCTGGAACCCGGCGGCTCCCCGGGCATGAGGGGATGGCACAAGAATCCGAACCAACAGTGTCATTTCTGGCACTGTGCATTGATGCTGCTTTTTAAGAAAATTAATTGAAGGAGGTTGTCACATAACTGGGACCAAAAAAAGGATGAAAGGAAACACAAAAGATGTCAGTCTTTCTGCCCTACACTGGTACTTTCTGCTCTGGTGCAGTCAGGGGAGGTAATGAAGTTCCGGAGATCTTTAATTTTTGATCTCCTAAGCTTTGTCCATTCAGATAGGAAAATAAGCATAATCTAGTCTTTTGGGGTATTTTTTAGATTTCTCACAAGTCAGGCCAAGCTGAATAAAACTATTTTAAGGAAAACTTGACAGGTTTGAACTGTTGGAATCTGGATTTATTTATCTGAAACATTAACATTGAGACATCTGGAAAAGCCTTGGTGTTCAGCAGCACCTAGGAGGAAAGTTCAAGGTAACATTTCCCCCCAGACCATTTGGAAGGGCTGCAAAGGTCTGCAGGCTCTTTGCAGTAGCAAAACCGGGAGAGATCTGCAGGATCTGGAAGTGCATATTTGTTGGGACCAAGTTACTACATATTCTTTGGGTCTGAGGGGAACAGGTAATTTTATTTCTGATTTTGTTTCTGAAACTGGTTTGTTTGCACTGTGTAACTGCTTGTTCTCTTATAGTTCCAGACTGTCTGATAGCACCCCTGGAGAAAAAAAAACCCTGTCCTCTGGTGGTAATGCATGCATGTTAAATGTCTTCATTGTAGAGTGTTCTTCAGTTCCTTTTATCATGGTTTAAAACAAAATTTTATATATATATATTCAAAATACCATTTGGAATGTCAACATTCAGTGGGCTTTGAGGAGATGTAGCAGCACATCATGGTTTGTAGGGACAAGGAGATACAGACCATTCTGGGCTGCCTCATTACCTCAAGGATAAGACAAGAAAGTGAGCTTCTGGTTATCATAGATGTGGAAGCTAAAACATTCCCATGTATCCCTTTAGTTCAGTTGAACAGATGTGTGTAGACACGTTCTCTTGGTGCTGGTGTCTGTGCACATCCTTTGCAGCTGCAAATACATTCCCTCTGAGTCTGTGTGCATGTGTGTGTGTCTCAGCAGGGCTGGCCCTGCCAGCAGGAAGGACTTGGAGCTCCTTTTTGTCCTCCAGCATGGGCATGACCCATGTTGGCTTGAGCTTCATGTATCCTATATACCCCTCACCTATGGCTCTTTGATGCTCTTGCTGGCAAAGGGGTTGGCCAAGGTAACCCTTGCCCTGTGTTTGGGGCAGCAAAGGGGGGTCTGGAGGCCGTGGAGAGCTGTCAGCAGTGCTCTAGCAGCACGTAAATACTGGAGTTTGGGATTGCCTGTTGCTCTCCAGTATTGCATTGCTGCTTTAGTGAGGCTGGAAATCGGTCCCTGCTGCAGGAGCCGGGGCTCTGGCTCTGGGGGTACCTCCTTGGCACCCCCACGGTGCCCCCACACTGCTGGGGGGCTCCTGTGTCCCAATAAACCACTGCGGAGGCAGCAACCAACGAGGGCGTGGTGTCGTTAATGGGGAGGGGGCTGCACCTCAGCACTGATGGGGTACCCAGTGCTCACACTCAGGGTGGGTGGAGCAGAGGACACTGCCACGGACATAGGGATGGCAACAACCCCTTCCCTTGTGTCTGAGGAGGGACTGTAGGGGGGGGGCCCACAGTGGCAGGGGGCAAGGGGCACTGCTGGCCCCTGGCTGCCTCCAGCAGCTGGGAAATGGGGTGTGTGTGGGGGGGGGTGCAAGGGCTGGTGAGAACAGGAACAGAGGGAGGAGGGTTATGCCTGGGGTGCTCCTGGGGAAGCGTTGTTCTGGGAGGGATCATTCTCTGAACCCCTGAATTTGCCCCAGGCAGTGTTGGGATACCCCTGCTAAGACACAGGCGGAGTAGGGAGGAGCTGGGGCCACGGGGGAAGAGTTCGGAAGGGGCTGGATGTGTTTGTCCACAGACCCATCACTGCAGCAGTTGCTCCAGAGCCAGACAAGCCCCAAGGTGAAAGAGTTTTTCCTAGCACCACTTGAGGCTTCCCAACCCTGGTGGAATAGATACAGGTACTGCCGGGGAGTCAGGGATGGTCCCTTCCTGGTCCAGGTTCATGCTTTGTGGTGGGAATGAGCTTGCCTGTCCTGCCAAGGATAGTGCATTGTTAACAGCCCCAATCCAGCAGCCTCCTGTTAAGCAGTAGTGGCTGTGAATTCTGGAGTGTTTTTTTTCAGTTATTTTAGGGCATTAATAAGTCATGGTCAATGTTCTAGGGCAGGGGGTGGTGGGGGAAAGTTCTTACTGGTTTACAGCTTAACTCGCAGCTTCTGCTCTGCACAGTGAGCGTTGGCACTGCCAAAGGATCGGCAAAAGGCACTGCCAGCAGAAACTTTGTGGCACAGGGAGGTGCAAGAGGTGTGTGCGTGGGTAGGAGCAGCTTTTAAAAGCCTTTGCCCACAAAGGGGTCAAAGTCATAATGTTTGGACATACAACCAATGCATTTTAAGCCAGACACTGGTATTTTTCCACTTGTGTCTGTAAAACGATTCATTCCCACTTTCTACAGGTCAAGCCCTTAATTGCCATATAACATTACTACCTTCCCTCAGGAGAATTAATGAGTTACTTGGTTAACAGGGAAATTGGTCAATAAAGTTATTAATTGTGTGCTTCTATACTTTATTAATTTTGCATCAGATTTTTTTTTAAAGGTTTATGTTAACATTTGCAGGTGGAGTGTAAGAGTTAAAAATCAAGTTTAGTTCTTTTTAGCCCTTTCTGTTGGGATCAGTTTGATTTTACTGAACTAGAAAAAGAGATTTCCACCTTGTTCACAAATAAAAGATGCCTGCTAAAACTGCTCTCAGGCTGCAGTCTCCTGCCACAATCAGAACGACAGTAACTGGAGAGTAAAAAGCACTGTGAAGTTTTCAGAGCAGCGGGCAAGAATAAAATTTAGAGGCTAAATGAAGCCAGTAGGATCCCAGGGGAGACAGAAAAACGCGCCCAGGGAGGTGACTTTTCAGTGAGTCGGCAGCACGAGCTGTGGGAGCGGTCCCTGGTGACTCTCGGTGGGAGCGATGGATGTTCCGTAACCGGGGCACGGGGATGTCGGGAGCGAGGGCGGAGGGTGCGGGACGGGGCTCTGTGTCTGCCTGATGGGTAGTGCCGCCTCCCAGGACACGGTGAGCGTGTCTCTGCCGCACATATTTCAGGATATTGCCAATTATTAATAGGGAAAGCTCGCGGGGAAGGCAGACATCCAGCTGCGCTTCTCTCTCTCAGAACCTGGGGACGCGCCCGTCTGTTTTTTTGCCTGAAACGTAGAAGTTTGCCATCGACGTGAGCGCAGGTTGACTTCCCTACTGCATTTGAGCACAAACCACTAGGACAAAAAGCAACAAAGGTTTTTGCAGAGCATCCCTGGGCTGATCAGCCCCTCCCGCCGGCACTGCCTTGCCGGGACAGCCACGCAGAGGAGCAGCAACACATGCAAAGCAGCTTGGGCAGACTTTTCTGTTTGTATAGATAAAGCAAGATGGTGGTGGGTTTTTGGTTTTTTTTTTTTTTTTGTCTAAGTGTGAATTCTGCTGCATGAGGAATGCGTGTGACCGCTGTTGAGGAAAAGGCTTTGAGCTTCCTCAGTAGTTTTGGGTGTGATTTTACAAAGCTGGAAGGCAGTGGTTCCCCGTGGTAGGTAAATACGTGCAGCACATCATCACACCACTGTGTGGCTGCTGGGCTTAGAAGACAGGCGTTAGACAAGCCTCTAATCCGCACATTTCTGCACCAGTCTTTTTTTATTATTTCCCCCAGACCGAAACTCTCCCACGTACTAAGTTACATTACTCTGCTCACAGTACCAGGTACCTCCATTAGAGAGGTGGTGGTGTGGGAGCCAAATGAGCTGTTGCAGATTCCTGTAAACACTAAAAAAGCAACCCAAAAAGCCACCTTATCTACCTTCAGCGTTTTCCTGCTCACCTCCTTTGATGCAGAAGGAATTTTTGGCAAGGGTTGGCAGCTCAGTGTGGTATCCAGCATTATCTTGCTTTCCTTGCATTTCTTGCCCACCCACCTCATCTGCTTTTCCTCAGCTCACATCCAGCATATGGAGCCAGGACTGACTATGGTAGGTGTCTGTGCAGTGCCTTGCACAACAGCAACTCCCCGTGCCTGCTGTTAATGACTTCAGGTCTTGCTCTTTGCACTGTGGACATCTTTTATATGCCTTGCTGTCTCTTACCAAAGGGAATTCTGGCTAAGGTGACTCTAGCTGGGTACCCAGCTGTGCAGCTGACCTCAGTGGGGAGCTGCATGAAGGAAAAAACCTCCTTGGGTTAAATGAGACATGACGGGTATCACCCACATGGCAAAGTAGAAGCCAGCTCACCCACTGAGGGTTTGCTAAAGTGACAGTGATGACCAGTGCAAATGATGGCACTGGTGCCCTGATAACATGTGGTTCCTGGCAACAAACTCACCAAATGGAAGAAAAATACAAATTCATGTGTTTTCATGTCTGAAGCAAAGTGTAAGACATTGCTCTAAGCAATTTCTCACATAAACCCATCCTTGTGTGCTGTTCAAGTAACAGGATATTGACAGTTACTCAAAGGATTCAAGTAGAGCAGATATTCATTTATAAATTGCCCAGTGAGTTCTCATGCCATATGGTCTGTGAGAGAATATTCAGCCTTCCCCCTCATACTGAAAAGAAATTATTTGAGTGTTCACAACTGCCAGGTAAGGTCTGATGGCTGGGAAGGTACTGGGGTGTGTGGAAAGTGCAGCTGAGCCAAGGGGGTAGTTGTGGTTATGCTGCATTAGAAAGCACAGAATGGTTTTCTAATCCCAAGTGTAAGGAGCTTACACCACAAAGGATATTTCTACCCCGTACTTTTTGTATTCTCTGATTGCTACAATGTACTTGGTGTTTTGTGAAGGGAAGAGAAAAAATTGTCACGAAGAGAAATTGAGGAGCAAAGACCTGATAAAGGCACTGCAATGAACATTTAGAAGCTCACACACACACACACTCACATACACACACCCCTCCTCCCTGCCTTAGGGCTAGCTTAGTCACGTCCCAGTTCCTCAGACGGAAAACAGGCAAGTGAAGCATCAGCACTGGCATCGCTGCTCTGGCACTTCCCAGACCCACAGGTTATCCAGGGGAAAGCACAGGAGAGGCAGTGTGTTCCATTGATAACCAGTCTGTGGCCAGGGAGAGGGATTTTAACCCTCTCCAAACTGCAGGACAGCCAAGCCAAGCCCCGTGCTCAAGCCAGCCCTGCCCCTCAGGCTGCACTGCTGAGCTCACAGTGGCACATCAGGGGCTCGAGGAGCAAATCCAGCCCCATCCCACCATCCACACGCTCTCCCATGCAGAATCAATGGGGAGAGATGGGGTTTCAGTGGCAGGGTTGGAACAGGGGAACTAAATAGGGTTATTTCACTGCCATGAATAGCAAAATATTGTGGGAGAACCAAGTTTTGTCTAGGCCTCTTCCAAAAACAATCCTGTGGCATTCCTCCTGGTGCTCCTGAGATTTCAGGATTGTAAAGTGGGCATGGATGAGCTACCCAGCTCCAAGAAGCCACCTAACAGGGGCTGGTGTTGGAAATAGCTGGTTCCTTATTTAATAGCTGGCTCTTTATTTATACATGCAGACAGTATGTACTGGGGCATTTTCCTAACTGTATTTGTGAAGGGCCAGGGTGGGGAATCACTACCTGTAGGAGGGCACAGACTGCCTGGGAACCCCCTCACACACCCTTAATGCCGAAAGTTGTAGCTTACAGGCACCACAATTGCCACAGGCAACCTGGAGATATGCAGAAGACACGTGAGGATTTGCTCCCTTTCTGGTTACAGTGGGGGAAAACCAAAGATGCCAGTACTAATCACTTGTTAGATAAACACCAGCCCCTTACTGGAACAGGTTCATGTACATGCACCTTGATTTACTCACTATCACAAATCTGTCTCTCCTACCTGGTTCCATATGGATTTTGGTTCCATATGGATTTCCACCTTCCAAGAAGTTGTTTTAGTGGAGCAGCACAGCCTGGAGCAGCGCCTGAAGGGTGTTTGCAGCCATTCAAATGTATCCCCAACAAATACCTTTGCACCAGCCTTTTATCCCCTGGCAGCTGCTAACGTGATCCCTTCCTCAGCTCCCTGGGGATGAAAACCCTCACAGCCAGTTCTTAGATCATGTTCAATCTTTGTGCTTTTCTACCCTCTTTACCTCGGTGCTTGCAGTGACATGAGCTCACTGAGTACTGGCATCTCCACAGAGCTGGGAAGCAATTTCCCCATCAAACTACATCTGCTTGGGAAATTAAATACATTTAAAGTCATTGAACATTACCCAAAAAAAAAAAAAAAAAAAAAAAAAAAAAAAAAAAAAAAAAAA